CAAGGGGTGAAATGGAAACATTTTATTTGTTCCTCCGCCCTGTTTCCAATATTGCACTCTGACGGTTCGATTAGAGTGGAGAAGTAATTCCAAGAATAGTTCTGTTTCTGCTGGGGGAACTGCTAGAGCTACCGCGCCTCAAAATAAAAACCTCTCTTACAGAAACCTAATAAAAAACAAGCGTACAAAAAGCGCCTTCTTTCTCGGCTTCAAGCGGAGCTTCAAATTGACACTGGGAGTAAGAAGGGAACAAGTCGCTGCAGCTCTGCTTTACACTGAATGTCACGGTGAAGTTGGTGGCTCTCCTGGGTCGTATTCAGGAGGCTCCGGGTTCATATCTCCATCCAGAGACCGGAAATACTAAAGACTTAATTCGTTCTCTCTGCCATTATAGGCAAATTCCGGGATAGTGCCTTAAATTCGGCCACGCACGCTTCCTTTCATATTATAATTCACTATATAGTATAGATATATATCCTGGAGAACTGAGATTTCAGAAACACAAATATGGCCATGTGTACCGAAACCAAGAATGACTGTGCTGTCAAGGACCAGAAGCAAATTACTGCTTTGATCTGAGAATGTCGTCAAATCAACCGAAACTACATAAACGGAGCTGAGTCCTTCGTAAGCTAAGAGTTGCTCAGCTGGTTAAGGAATTCCCAGCATTTTGTGGAACCCGTGTTCACGAGAGTCACAGGAGGCACAAGAATCCAAACCCTCCCATTCCATTTAATATAACATTAATACTATCTTCCTATCTACGTCTAGATCTTCCTAGTTGTCTTTTTCGTTCAGCCTATGCCACCAGAATGACGTAAATATTTCTCTTATCTCCCATGCGTGCCATATGCCCTATCCATCCAGCCCTCTTTGATTTGACCATCGCATTAATGTTAGGAGAGATATCATGAAGTTCCTCACTATGTAATTTTCTCCAGTTTCCTGCTACTCTCTCTTAGGTCTAAATATTCTCCTCAGCTAAAATTAATTACAGATAAATACTCGTAAGTTTACTGACCTAATTACATTACGGGCGTATAATGTGAGGTTCTGGTGACTTGTTTAACGGTGCTATCAGTAGCTCAGACAGTGACGGGCGGCACGGAGATTAGTGAACGATGAATAGGAATGGACACGGAAGGAAGCGATCGTGGCCTAGTTTAACGTACAAAGAGAGAACACTCTGTTTAGAAAGCCTGTGACGCGCAGACTCGAACCGCGGTCTGCAATATGAAACTTATGGCGGTGAAGGCTGAAAACCTGTGATGGTTCCTACATAGAGACAGTAAGCGCCATGGTCGCTTCACACTGTTGGCAGAACTGCGGCAATACACTGTTTTTACTGTTGGCAACGTGTATGAATGATGACAGATCAATCGGTATAACCCGGGGTTCGATTCCCGTCAACGGCAAGTTTTCTCTCTACTTCACATTGTCCAGAACGGCTCTGGGGCCCACACATCCTCCTATCCAATAGGTAGTGAGGCCATTCGGCCGGGGATTGAAGCTGATGACCGGGCTACATGTATATTCCTGACGCGATTTAATGGTCGTTCATAACAACACTCAGCCATGTCCGCCCGAAACAGCACTGTCCGACAGTCACATTTTCGCCAGACGCGATACTTTCTGGCTGTTTTGCCTTCGAACAATGTTCAATTATCACAATGTTCCTGTCTGCATTAGCCCTCTACGGCGGCCATCGGAGTTAATAACAAAGCAATATCCTGCTTTGTAACATACAGGCGGAACGAGGGGTCACTCAATCTAAGTCGGACTGTACTGTTGTGGTTAATAATGCATGGCTCTATACATCCGCTCCCCCATATATCTTCCCGGCATTGTGCTTAATTAGTTAAGCACAGTGATTTTGACCTTTAACCTTTAAACTTTTACCCATTGGATAGGTCACAGAGCCGGTCTGAACGCTGCGGAATAAAAAGAAAAATATCTTGCCCCTACAAGGAATCGAACCCCCGCTGTCCATTACGATCACGAGGCAGCTTAAACGTAAGTCTGTAAGCAAATATTCCGGCTACTCTCCTCCCACAACCCGGAAAGATCGCAGGTAGCTCTAATGACCATTCGCATGTGATGGCGGTAACTATGAACATCAACATTTCGGAGAAACATATTGCCACAATCTTCAGTGTAGAAGAGAGGTTGGAATCTAATGACAGCGACATTACATGAACAATAAACAACCATATACAGGCAAATAAACAGTGACAAGCTGTGCGACTATCAACTACTGATTGGTGATTAAGGATCATGGAGTTAGTGGGTGAGTCAGTAAGTTGTAAATGTTTCAATAACCGAAGATTACTAACTTTTGGAATGTCACGCCGTGTACTCCGGTAGATCTTTCGGAGACGTTTCGTTAGCTAAACGGAGCTTTGCTTGTTGTTAGTTACCTGCTCGTGAACATGGACAAATGTCTTCCCCCGATACCTCGGTGGATTTCTACCAGACTGCACGGCGTCACAGCCCACAAGATGGTACTGTTCACAGTTACGGCTGTGGGAACTTTAAGTCCAACTATGAGTAATGGTTCTCGTTAGGTGCGCTGGCATAACTAAATGCACTAACATTTATTGTAGTAATTAATTGGTCATAACATTTAGAGCAACATTAGTAGGACTAATGGAAGCGCACCAGACAAAAGTAGGCCGTACCCAACGCGTACAGACGGGACTCAGCCCCCCCTTGCAGAATGTTGTCCTTCTTCGCAGTGACGGTAAGTCATCATAGAGACTGCTTATTGTGAGAACCATATGGAACACACAAATACACTCTGTGGGCAGAAAACTCAGTCCGTACCTCATAGGAAATTCATTACGTTTCCGCTACAAAGCCCAGCCGGTTAATGCTGTTTAGGGAAACAGTCGCTGTTTATTGTGAGAACCATACGGAATACACAAATACACTCTGTGGGCAGAAAACTCAGTCCGTACCTCATAGGGAATTCATTACGTTTCCGCTACAAAGCCCAACCGGTTAATGCTGTTTAGGAAAACAGTCGCTGTTTATTGTGAGAACCATATGGAATACACAAATACACTCTGTGGGCAGAAAACTAAGTCCGTGCCTCACAAGAAACACATTACATCTCCGCTACAAAGCCCAACCGGTTAATGCTGTTTAGGGAAACAGTCGCTGTTTATTGTTAGAGCCACATGGAACACACAAATACACTCTTTGGGAAGAAAACTTAGTCCGTGCCTCACAAAAAAACATTACGTCTCGCTACAAAGCCCAACCGGTTAATGCTGATTAGGGAAACAGTCGCTGTTTATTGTGAGAACCATATGGAACACATAAATACACTCTGTGGACAGACTGCAGAGTCCTTAGTGTCCAAGTACGTAGTACATATACATACAATCTTGCTTCAAAGTAGTTATTCACAACGACAAATGTTGGTGCTGTTTCATTTCCTGTTATCAACTTTCAGTGGTTAAAGGGATGGGCAAGACTTTCTTTTGTGCATTCCCTGTATGTAGTTTGCAAAAGAACTGCATAAAATTTGTTAATCAGTTGAAGGGCAGTAGTACCTATATGAACTACCTGTTTTAATACCCCAAAAGTGTCTGTATTTCATAATATTCTTACAATATACAGCGACTGTTTCAACCTACAGAATTAATCTGTTTTGTTATTGTAATCTGTTTACAGTGTTTACTATGAGGTAAGTAAAGGTAAAAATGTAAAAGCTATCCCTGTAACAGGCCGTGGAGGCCTATACGGCTGTGAGACGTCGAGGTTCCCAAATTTTATAGACAATTGGCTCACAGATGACAATGAGAGTGTCAGCCTTACGTGGCGGCCGCCCTTTACACACAGAAGAATCATAATATACATTTCTGATAGAGTACGAGTCGACACTAGGGCTATAGTGCGGCTGGAAAAATTAGGTCAATCGAAATTTCCACTAACCTTATTGTGAATCGAACTCGCGACCTTCCGGCTTGCAGCATAGTGCCTCAATCAACTACGCTACCGCGTTCCGCACCTCACATCCATACATAACCTTTCACTAATTATTTAGTGATTTTCGTGATTAGTATGTTGGCTACTCGGTTATTAATCTTTATTGCCCTACTTAGCTTGTTAGTAACTCAGTACTAGTAAGATAGCTACGTAGTTACTTGGCTGGCCTTTTCGTAGGTCATTTCTTTGAGGAACGAGATTTCAAAGGCAACGATTAGTAAACGTGAGGTTTAACCCTGCCATTACACAGTTTCGGGTTACCACAGTGACGAACTGTCCAGCTATAACACATTTTATGAGCGCGATTTACGTACAAGTTTACGAACGAGCAATAATAAGTCTTTTCGTTTCAAGGCATCAAGTCTCTTCCGTAATTTTATGTGGGTATGTGTAGTATAGTGGTGTGCCATGTAAAGGAGATGGTTTACTGTTGACTATTTGTATGTGTTATTGGTGGGAAACGGTTTTACTCGTTACCATAGATGTATCAGTCGATGTGGGGGAAAGCAGAGGAAGTTAGTAGAAGGAAATCTTGTATAACAAATGACGGAACTGCCTGCTTACTTCTTAACGGCTGCTACACAAGTTAGATTCGAGAGAAGTAAACTGAGAATTAATCACAAAATAATCGAGTATTAATCTAAAATATATAATATTTTATTTCATCCCTACAGGAAACCTCTCAGGCCATTGTGTTTCTTCTGATGGCCAGCCACGTTATTGCAAATAAGGTCACTCAACAGCAGAGCCATCTAGTAACGTGTATCAAAACTATCACCGAAAAGTTCTTCGATGAAGAAGGAACATTGGTCATTTCCCTGCCAATTTCCGGGGATTTTATTGATCCAAAATTCAATTTCATAAAATTTGGTCAGAAATTCCTGGACAAAACCAGAACACAAAATATGACTGTCCTGAATCGCTTACTGAAAGAACTTCATGGCACTCACAAGAGACCGATCGTTGTTTCCGGGAAAGCAGGAGAAATGTGCATACGTATGCCCAATATGCGGACTTACTCTCCTTCAGCTTCTCCACCTTCTGCAACTTCTGTAACTTCTGCAACTTCTGCACCTTCTCTAGAAGAGTGGGAAGAATTTATGAAACAGAACCCTTGCTACGCATTCGGCAAACACAAGAGCTACATCCTGTGGGCGCACGGCACACTAAGTGAGCAACTGCAAAAGCTGAAAGCTTACTACAACGCTTGGAATCCTCGAGGCAAATTTCTCGTTATATTGGAGGAAAGCAATCAGGTTCTGCCTATTCTAGAAGAACTGAGACAATGGAACATTCTGAATGTGGCAGTTCTAGTTCCTTCCACCAATGAACAAAACACACTTGACTTGTATTCTTGGTTTCCGTACCAGCCTCCATCAGGCAAATGCGGGAAACTAAACAAAGCTGTTCTGTTGGACAAATGGATTGGTCAGAGACAACAATTTCTACACAGCAGTTCCTTATTTCCCAGAAAAATCCCAAATGACCTTCATGGCTGTAGCATAAGCGTCTCTACCTTGCCACTAGATCCACATGTCATGGTAAGCAGTGACAGGAAAGCTGCCCTGGACAAAAACAACATCACATATGCAGAAGGTTTGGATATAAGGTTACTTCAGTTCGTGACACAAAGTGTCAATGCAACAGTTAGCTATTTGCGGCCCCCTGCCGGCGACTGGAGCGATGTGTACCCAAATCAGACTTGGGGTGGAATATCGGGAGATCTGCTCTACGGGAGGGCAGATGTTGGAGTTTGCGGGACCACGTACGCCTTTGCATTTACACCTGATCTGGAGTTCACTGTTCCATACGACACGATGGACGCCGTGTGGGTTGTGCCACGTGCAAAGCAGCACCCTCGCTGGAGCAGTATCACCAGAGTGTTCCATCTGCCAGTGTGGTTACTGCTGATGATCGTGATCATCATGGCCTCTGTCATCATGTTATGGCTCTCCAGATACGCGGCAAGATACAGTGAAGAGCACCCTGCGTATAGGAACCTGTCCGGATGTCTGTCCAGTGCGTGGGCAGTGATGCTGGGAGTTTCTGTTGCTAGGCAACCTTACACTGGACCACTCAGGTTAGGATTCTACATTCGTTCGTTATTTTAAGACGATGCCAGTAGCTAGAATATATAGCATCGAATGATACGATGACAGGTGAATGACGGATTGGAAAGGTTTGGAACGAAGCTGTCTTTGGCTCTTCTAGGTTCTAACCCTGAATTTATCGGCAGGGACTGATGAGAACCACGATAAAACTAGGTAAAATTATTTTGTGCCCTAGCCAAGATTAGAACCTACCCCATGCTACATCTTACTGTTCTCTACTGAAATGAATACAAACACGGAATTAGAATAACAGTGTTTGTGTCTCTGTTCCTTAGGTTCTTTTTCTTCTCGTGGGTGATGTACTCCCTCGCGGTGAGCAGTGTGTTTCAGACGTTTATGGCCAGCTATCTGGTCGACCCAGGGCTGGAGAGACAGGTGAGCAACGTAGAAGATATTTTGAAATCGGGCCTGGGTTACGGAATGTATCGAACATTTAAAAGCCTCGTGGAAGATCTACCGAAGCAGCAACTGGATGTGTTGCTAGAGCGGGCAGAGGACTGCTTAAAAATTGTTGAATGTGCTGAAAAAGTCGCGAAGCAAGGAAACTACGCTACGATTTTGGCGGGTATCACAGCCGAATATTTGAACACATACAAAACAGTTGACGATAAAGGCACTGCCCTTCTTTATATTTTAGAACGCAAAGTCTGGACGAACTTCCAAGTATTTCTTCTGCCAAAAGGCAGTGGTTTCCTGAGTATGTTTAACCGTCTGATAAGGACTGCTCGCGAGGCCGGCTTGGTGCAGTACTTCTGGAGAGACATGTTGACCACATCCAAAATCAAGACCGGGTCAGTTCGAGTACACACCCTGCTAGATGACTACACAGTGTTCTCCCTGACGTACCTTCAAAGTGCCTTCATTCTGCTTGTGTTGGGACACTGCTTTGCTCTCTGCCTGTTCTTAGCAGAGTTGACGTGTTCTTGGTGGGCACTGCGGAGGCGCAAGATGGCGGTCAAATATCCTGGCGGCGACATAAAACCGCATGTTCCTTGAAGAGGGAGAAATCATCGCCGAAGAGTGAAAAAAAAAACACTTTCAATGTGCCCATTAAAGTTCACCCCTATCTCCTTTATACTTTCCGTAGTTGTGGAGCAGCAAGAAGAACAGCAGAGTCGGAGATCTCCTAAGGACTTGGTCATGCCTCGAGTAGGCAACCGTAGGGAAGAACCCCGGTGTGGCGACTGTAGTTCCCAGAGCATGTTCACAGCAGACTCTAGTCACACCGTAACGGAGATGTAACGATCTACGTCACTTTCTGACCATGCCCCAGAAACAGATGGAAAGAAGGCGTTTTGGACGAGAGTTAATGTAACTGGATGTCTTCTTCTGCTTGAGGGCCTTAGACATCCGTCTGTTTCAATTCGTAATTAACTTCGGAAGCAATATGTAAATATTTAGCAAGATTCCTTCGACGGGGGATGGGCCCGCTTTGCGACCACAACCTACGTAGGACCACGCAAGCCGGGAAGGATTGCATATACATATTCGTGCCCCCAGTGGGGTTCAAGACCACAATTCTAGTTTTCGAGTGGCGGAAGCCAGTTCATGCTCCATCCCGAGGGACTATCTGATCGCTTAGGAATGTACCAACTTCTGTGGGGCTGGGCGAAGAATTCCCATGGCTCGTCCCACAACTCCTACCCTTCCTTCTTGCGCTCGCCTTTCTCTAGCCCGCATTCTTCCACTCGTATGGCTGGATTACTCGTTCTGCACTGGAGGGAACGATTTTGTTGATTGTAAGCCACAGGGCACGAGGAAGGGATGAAGACCAAAGAAGACCTGGATGAGATCAGTCATGGAAGAGGCACAGAGAGAAGAGAGGATATGGAGAGAGGTGAAGAGGTTGGAAGCGGACAGAAGTCGCCGGAGAAGCTTCGTGGAAGCTCTTTGCTCCTATACAGGCAACAACAGGAATTAAGAACAAGAAGACAAATGGAGGGGAACGGGTCCTCCGCGCAAGCAGCTCTTATCTGCAGTGCCCGTGAGAATTCTTTGTCCGCCTGAACTATATACAGTTGAAGAACAGGCGTGAAGATGTGTTGTACCCACGTCACATGATACAAGGCGCTGTGTCACGTGACGATCAGGAGGTAGGTGTGAAGCTACTGCCGTGGCGTGGGTAGACGTGGAGACGTGTCTGGCTAGCAGACTGGACTGAGCCGACATTATAGTGGCTGTACTTTGTAAGGAGTATTGTGTGTGTGTGCGTTTATTCTGAATGTTTTCTCTTAGCACTTAAGATATTTGAAACTTGCTAGTGTAATTATATACATCGTTTGATTCTCACAATAAAGAATATTAACCGGTTGGGATTTGTAGCGGAGACGTAATGTTGCCTGTGAGGCACGGACTGAGTTTTCTGCCCACAGAGTGTGTCTGTGTGTTCCTTATGATTCTCACAATAAACAGCCACTGTTTCCCTAAACAGCATTAACCGGTTGGGGTTTTTAGAGGAGATGTGATGTGTTTCCTGTGAGGTACGGACTGAGTTTTCTGCCCACAGAGTGTACTTGTGTACTCCGTATGGTTCTCACAATAAACAGCGACTGTTTCCCTAAACAGTATTAACCGGTTGGGCTTTGTAGCGGAGATGTGATGTGTTTCCTGTGAGGTACGGACTGAATGTGTATGTAGCATTTTTAAGAATTAGTCTAGTCTTTAAAGGGTTAAAATTGAACATATAATATGCGCACAGACTGCAAACACCACTTTTCATTCCACCAAATTCTGCATCATCATAATTACCCGAGACAGGTACAATAGGCCAATCAGTGGCCGCAATGCCGAGTGGACCCAGCTGGACTCCACCACCCACTAGGCGAATTTACCGAGTTTCGCCTTACGACACCTTAAATTCGCCATGAAATTAAGTAGAGCCATGTGTTTCAGTTAGTTTTAGAAGCTGCCTATAGATGGTTCCATAACGAAACGCCTCTACAGCTGAATGCCTTTTTTCTTGTATTTACAATTTTTTTCACAATTAAGAAACTACAGCTGAATGCAAATATGGTGGCGGCCTGCAAACGGAAGAACACATCTTCTGGGATTGTAAACTGTACGAGGACCAAAGGGCAACAACGATGGACGTTCTCTAAGAACACCAAAAAACAAGATACTCAAAATCAGTTACAGAGATCTTAAGGCTAGAGGAAAAACATTCTACAAGACATCTGTTACTTCATAAACAGAATTCCTAAAATTATTAAAAATTAAGTGTTACAAAATATTAATAATGTCGTCTTAAGAGTTAAGAGGTATATTAAAAAATCGAGGAGCGACCGCTATGATAGAATAAGATGTTTATAAGACTTCGATACAGGGGGCCGGATGTGCATTGTCTAGGCCACATTTGTATTTTTAAATTAAAAAAAATACTTAGGTGACGGAATATGAAACTATTCCATTTCTCATTAACGTTGCAATCTACAAGATCTGAACTGCAGCGTATCATGGGAATAACAATTACCACTCGTTCCGTCCAGAATATAAGTGTGTACTTAGTTCACTTTCACTTCTTTACGCTCCTGAAGTGAAGTTAACGATCGTGATGGACAATAAAAATGGCCGCTAGGGAGTTACACATGAGAACGACATGAAACGATATCTGATATTACGAACAGAGACGATATTATATCCAAATAATTAGGACATAATGAAATTACTCAAATTGGTGTCCAGGGACAGCTACTTTCATATATAAAACCAGCATAAAACGTCTCAAAAAGATCATGTGACCATGCAATCAATATTGTTTACTCAGACCTCCTAACTTACACAACTGAAAACTCATTTGACGACACAAGAAGAAACAGGAGAGGTGAGACACGTCGTATAATGAACTTAATAACGCGCAGAGCTTCCATTTGCAGGTCTGTCGGCAAGGTAAATATTTCTCCAAATACGCCGATTATTTTTGAATGTGTTCAACGTGACATGATGTTATTAATGGGTCCATATCTGCAACGTCTATGGCGTATCATCACCAGAGCCAGTAGGATACACACGTCTGCAAGCAACGTTCACAAATTATGTAGACCTATATTCCATATTTGAGAACTTTCTTCCATCGCTGTTAAATTAAATCAAATAAGATAAATGTTTCCATTCCATGTGCCATAACTTTGGGTCGTGCCACAGCTCAAGCGATTAGGCACTGGGTTCTCATCGAGGAGCCTCGAGTGAAATTTCCGGATGATTTCATGTAATATTCGTGACGAACTTGAGCAGGTTTATCTCCGAGTCTCTTCGGCTTTCCCCTGCTACTATCATTCCACCATTGCTCCATGCTCATGTATCATCAGGCGTACGATGTCCCTGACTAGGCAGCACATTATCACATCCTCGGTTCTTACGTTGAGGCTTAATCTCCGACCCTGGTTGCAGGGCGAGGAAGTTAATTCATATTCACTTTGCCTGCCACTGTCCTACCGGAATCCGAACGATAAAGCAAGCAGATGTGTCTCTTTACAGAACTGTCAAGCGTGAACACCATGTGCAGAATTGTGGCACTGTTAGTCATCCTCCGCTCCGTCGTACCAATAACATCCGGTGAGCTGACCACAGCCCAGCACAACGTGGCAACGTGTCTCGACGCTATTGCAACGAGATACTTCACACCAGGACAACCTCTAGTTATATCGACACCTAAGTCACGCGCCAAACACCCACGTGACAGTGTGGTTCCCCACAGCGATGATTTCGCAATGGTGGACAGACTGTTGGCAAATATAAATGCGAAGGAACGGTGGCCAGTTCTGACAACCAAAGAAAACGTTTCGGTATCCGAGAACGGAACACCAGAGAAACAACACGGTTATGTTCTGTTCTTGTGGAAACATGACGAAGACGCGCACATTCTGGAGACTCTCCACGTTCAGTTGGATAAACTCGAGGGTTACGTATATTCCTTCAACAGTCGAGGAAAGTTCGTTGTCGTGGTAACCGATACAAGCATTCAGAATTCGCATGACTTGGCTAAAGATATTATAAAGAAGATGTGGACGCGAGAGAAAATTGTGAATATACTGATAATGATTTGCAGCGATCATAATGTTTTGCACAAAAATGATTCAAGCGCAGAACACCTAGACGAACAAACCCTTACGTTTGACTTATACACGTGGTTTCCGTACGAGCCAGGCCAATGTGGGGAAGTGAACAAGTTGGTTCTTCTTGATCAATGTGTGTCAGGGGGACTGCTTCACAACATCACGCACTTTCCCTCAAAAGTCCCTCAAGACCTGATCGGCTGTCCAATCAAGGCTTCCGTTTCGCATATGAGTCCTTACGTTATAATGACGCATAACAACACAGAGGAAGACGGTAACATCACTTACAAATACAGAGGCATTGAAATTGAGTATCTTCTCATTTTAACTGAGAAAATGAACTTGTCTCTTACGTATCTCCCTCCATACGAGGACGAGTTTATGTACAGGATAATCCAACAGCTACTGGACGTGAAGAACGGGAAAGCTGACGTCGCCTTAGGATACTGTCCCCTCATCCCATTTTTTGCTGACTTTGGTGATCCAACGATACCATATCTTTACTCGTCCGTGAAGTGGTTTGTTCCCTGTGCCAAGCCAGCTGAGAGGCAGCTTTATCAAATGTTCACACCGCCCGTCTGGCTGGCTGTTGCCCTTGTATTCATTCTTACATGTACCACATTTTGGGGCTCAGCTAATTCCGTTTCTGCATCTACAGTAATGGAATCCAAAAACTTCAGGACACTTTCTTCATGTTTCCACAACGTATGGGCTCTCTCTTTGGGTGTCGCGGTGCCACAACTGCCCATCTCCTCCCGTCTCAGAATGTTCTTCTTGCTTTCTGTGTGGTACCATTTCTTTATGGGCATCATTTTTCAAGTATCATTTACATCTTTCATTGTCGAACCCGGATACGAGAAACAAATTGAAACTTTCAAGGATCTAATTGAATCTCGAGCTACATTTGCTCGAGATTCAATGACGAAATTATTGTCAGAGATCGCA